CAACTGGCCCAACCTGACACACAAACACTTTGATGCCTGACTGATTACTGAATTACTTCTTGTTCTGTCCACCAGCATTCAGCGCGATTACACGCTTTCTTATAATCAGATTATTGTGAATAATAAGATTTAAGTAACTCTGTGATTAAAGCATTCACATGGTTTGGGGTAACTTAATTTTCCTACTAACTCTCGTTTCAATGACTTGTTGGTAAATGCTTTAGGATGTGTTGTAGCCTGCATGATACATGTTATTATCCCACAGCTGTGAGGCTCTCTACATCAGTTAACTATGAACATTCTTGGATAATAGAAAGATGAAAGGTCGGTACATGAGACAGGAACACCGCTATCAGCTAATGTTCTCACTTGTAGTTTGACTAAGATAATCGAGTTAAAGTGTTTACACACAGTGAGGTCTCGAAGCCTTTAGACAAAAACAACCACAGTGGATTTAAATCAAACGAGTGAAGTGAAAAGCACAATGTTCAGCTTTAACTCAAGGGGTTTAATAAAAGTATTGCATTACTTGTTTAGGAATTAAAGCCATTTACAGCCATCAGGGAGGGTCTGAGGAGAGGGCATGAATGGCAGGACCAGCTCAATGTTCCCAAGCCAGAGAAAAATGGAGAGCAAAACAAATTCTCAAAGCGCATTTGCACTGTCGAGGTGGAGGGCCTTTCCCCTCCAGAAGTAGACATTAGCACGATGGAAGACCATAGCTGCTGGCTCCAGTGCTGGTAATGTCTGAACCCACTGCTCTCTCTCCTTCTCTGTCTCGCCATCAAGGGACCATCCTGCCATCTGTAACCACTGCTGAACCATATGAAGCTCTTCTACGATTCTACGCTTGATTTATTTTACCAAAATAAAAAAAAAATTTAAAAAGAGGGTAAAGGCTTAGAAAAAGCCTAGAATAAACTCATTGAATGATCAGTTTCAATCACTGAGACTGAATGCCAATTACCCAAATCACACACAACAACTGGGGGAAGTCAGCCACCCACCTCTCATTTCAGGGTATTAACATTATTTCTCATATGAATTTTATAGCCTGTGTCAATTCACTCTGTTTACTTTGCACTGATCAGGATGTCAGACCGAACCATCTTGAATCAATGCAATACAATTTTTATACTATAATATATTAATATATTGGCCATTAGAAATGACAGCACCAAAATATTGGCAAATAGCTAATATCAACCAATATATCAGCCCCATCAATCTGTCAGGCTCCAATTAGAATAGCAAATATTTATTTCATAAAGTAGAATAGAATAGAACAGAATAGCCTTTTATTGCCATTGTGCATTTGAAAAGTGGTTTTCATGGGCTTTGTAAGTCCTATTTTTTCTATTATTTTATATAAGAAGAAAAGATTTTCTGCCATCACTGTTCCTCTATTTTTATGAGATTACTGTAGACCAATGCTCGCTTTCCTACTCCTATATTTCTTTATCTTTTGATAAATCTGCAGCATTAAAAACCACCCTGAATCTTTGCTTGCACTTTAAGCACTGATGCACAATCAATTAACAACATTACTTTTGACACTTCATTTGCTATTCTTCATATTGATTCCTGCAGTATGTCTATGAAATCTCTGTGTTCTGGTTTAAATAAGAGAAATGGGTCAATCGATTCCTAGGGCTAATTTTAACAACCTGCGCAAGCATGTATTTCATAGGCTGCATAACCTGAGCCTATGCGATCCTGTGAATTAAACCTCTCTCTATCAGGTCTGACTGTTTACAACCCATCGCTTTGTCCTTGTCTCCAGACATGATGTTACTCCAGAGCAAGATATGATGTAACACCCGGTTAACAACCAAACTCGTTACAGCAAGAAGGACAGCAAAACACACACAGACACACTCCCGTAAGACTTTCCCGGCAGTAGATATATGGGCGCTTTGGGTGCGATTGGTTGGTTAACTTGCATGCAGATTCTTTTGTGTCATTGTGTGTGCGCGTGCATGTCCGGATGACAAAAGTGTCCTTTATTGCGTCTGGCTCCCTATGAGGGGCGTCACAGGGTCACATCATAACTAAGTTAGTCAAGGTTCAGCAGGGCTGGAGAGCAGGTTGCGGGGTGGGAGCAGGAAGAGGTCCCACTGGGTTAAAGGCAGGGTGGAACAGGCATATCGGGTTTGGAGGGGGGGGGGGGAGGTTGGCTGGAATTAGTCCATTCATGCTTGGCTGGACCCTGGGCATGCTAACAGGCTACAGTGCTAATCTAGTTAGAGCTGGAAGCCATGCAGACACAGGGAAAGCGGGGTTGGATGGGAGGGTGAGAGAAAAGATTTCCTGGGGGTGAGGGGGGTCAAGGTCTAGGGCCTCGGCTGTGGAGCTAGATGGCAGGTGGTTGAAGCTGAATAGCAGAAAAGGGGAAAAAATGAGTGGGTCGAGAGGCGAGAAGGCAGATGATGGGGCATGGGTGAAAGTGGGCACACAGAGAAGGCTAGCAAAGGCCAGTTGTATGCGTGGGGGTATCACACTGTTCCTCTACGGTTAACAGATGGAGGGGGGAGAATGAAAGGGGTTGCAGGGTGACCCAGTGATTAGACAGACCCTTATTAAATCACATCAAGGCTCTTTTATCTTGCTTTTCATCTTTCACTTAGTCACTTGGCACTCAAAAATTAATCAATCCAAGGCCCAGGAATGGAAAAGAATGAGGGAAAAATTCTGCTCCGATTATTTACAGTAAAATGTATCTATAGCCGGAGCAGCCTACAGCCCAGACAGAGCAGATATTTCACCAGAGGCTCCCTCAGGCTTCTGACTGAACACTCTTCTTATGCCGTTTCCCCTCTGTAGACCCAGTAACTTCTATACTTTATTTTCTGACTGCAAGGACGTTTACTTTTTATATCAGCTCCACTTCACATAGTAACATAGTAATCTGTCATCCTCCATATTAAACTGATGAGTGCATCAGATTGACTGTGGAATGAGCGGCACCAAACAGCATCAATCCCCCTTGATCGAGTCACCGAGCTTCTAACAGCCTTGGTAAGACTCATTTTTCATAGCCATTCCCACCGTCTGATTTCCTACAGAAGGAGTACATAACAAGACCAGGACAGATCAGAGGAAAAGTCCTACAAGTGACTCAAGGCCACAGGAATTTAAACTTCTCTGCTCGCACACAGAGCTAAACCAGTCTGTCTAAAAACTAAAGCTAAACCAAAAACAGAGACTAATAAATATAAAAGACGCTGTGCAGCAGGTTGGCATGTATATTTGCAATGCATATTTAAAATTCTCTAGTAGCTTTATTCACACTATGGTAACCACACATCCTCCTACTCGCACCATTCTGATTATTTGAATATTTTAAAAATTAAATCAGCTGTCACCTTTGATCAGCTTTTCTCATTTTTAACATATATTTGTCATCACTTACTTATATATATATACAAGGCATGGTGAAGCAGCTTGTATCAAACAACATACATGCTCAACAGTGTTGTTATTTAAAGTATAAAAGACAGACTGGATATAAAGATAAGTTGTGCACTGGTATGTAGACTACTGTCTTAATGTTTTACCTCTTTAAACCAAATGTGACCACCTTTGATCACATGGGTACAGCTGGAGAAGTCTCATCTAATCCTAGCACTGCCAAGTTAGCTTGATCAGCATGGTGGATCCATAATTAAATATGATATTAAACAGGACTAAATATGAATGATGGAAAAAAAAACAGGCTCAACACAAAGTGTAATCTAAATATACATTTGGATTGTCTTATTCACTGTTTAGTTGCACTAAGACAAAGTTAAAACTACTTGTCACTCAGAAAGCCCCTGAAGGTTCTTATCCAGATCAGATAATATGCTGTTATTATGTTGCCTAGCCTATTGCTAGGCAGTTGCTAAGATGACTTGTTTTTAGCATTTATGTATTTATGACACCATATAACAGCATCATATCATTTTTATTTCACAACAATAACATCTCATTTATATACCCAAAACTTCTGTTATGCATGCACTAGTTGATAAAGTTTAATCAGGTAAGTAACCAACCTTGTGTCGATGTCACAAAGGGAAAACTAGGTAAGCTAAACCTATTTGTAATGAATCTGAAGGGATGGACTCGCTTTTAGAGCCTGCCTCAAGTGGCCAGTAGAGGAACTGCAAGCTTTGACATCTTGTGGATTGACTTAATTTTGACTTTACCTTCACATCTTCTTTGTCAGTTGGTATCATTGCCATAGCTTGGCTAACTTATAGCAGCAACAGGTTCACTTGGTCAGAATACAAAACTAAATAATGTGAGATGTGGATTTTTTTTCCCCAAAGCACTTCACTTATTTTAGAAGCAGAATAATATCCAAAAACAACAGGGGACGATAGGAAAATGATATAACATTTATCAGTCAAGTACCTTAACAGACCTCCCAATCCCAAAGTGTAATTTCAGTGTCAAAAACAACAGGGCTGAGGTGTAAATGGGCATTTTCCAATTGTGTTTTTTTTTTTTTAATTAAAATGCAACTCAATCCTCAGCAGTTGTTTTTTGTTTTTCTAAATGAATGCTGCATTGCTGCCTTGGTGGCTCTCAGTTGGTTCTCGTTCTTACACTTTGCTCAGACTAAGTAAAGAACGCTAAGTGAAGACGCCAGGAGAGCAGGTTGCGTCAACGCTGCATCTGTTTTCACACGCCATCAAGTTACAGGCAAAAAGTTTCTGTGTTCGGCTTGCATCTGTTCCAGAAATGCACTTTCTGATTCTCTCGCCCTCTCTCACACACACATGCAGTCACACACCTACACACACATACACAGCTGTATCACCATGATACCCCTTCTCACATGCACAAAAAAATGTGTTGATTGAGTATAGCCTCGGTTGTTCAGGTGTTTAAGAGATTTTTGCAGACTCTTCTCTTACATCTGTGTCAGGAAAAGTGTATTTTCACGAGTTGAGGCTCAACTTGCATAATTAACACGTGCACACGAAAAAGTTACACAGCAGGTAGGGACGTACTGGCTTTGAGGATGGCCTCGTTCACTTCGATCTCTCCTCTGTCTTCATCCTGGTACTGCAGGTGGGGGTAGTAGGTGAAGGGCTCTGGACTCGGGGCAGCACTGGACGAGCTGTTAGACATGCTCTCTCGGGGGCTCTCCGTCCTCACATGCTGGGGTTTGTTAAACACTGCCACCAGCTGGAAGACAAACAAAAAAGTTAAAACTGCATCCTAAATGTTCGAAAATATTAAACATGATATGTACACAAATCTGAAACAAACAAGCTTTTCTTGAGACAAGCGTGACAGGATAAACAATATGAGTCCTGGCATATGAACAAGCTGGAAACACACAGCCAGGTTATATAGCATCTCCACTGTGCCGTGATCACAGGAAGGCTTTTATGTGATTTATCTTGCCGGCAGTGGGGATGCAACCTGCTTCGTTCTGCCAAGTATGCAGATGCGTGTGTGACTGTGTGTGTGTGTCTGAGGAAAGCAAACAGAGCTGGATTCACAGCTCATTCACTCTCAAACCCCTTACAGTGCATAACACAGCGGCTGGTGCCTCCGCAGCGACACGATGATTTCTGTATTTCGTGAACAAAGGAGAAAAACTCTGACCGGCCATTTCGTCCAGTTCGGGGGACGTGACACACGGCGAGGCCCGGGGCGAGGTGTGCACGTATGAAATTAGCGCTCAAATGAGATCTGACGTGAGAATGAGAAGCTGTCAAACACAATGACACGGCTGACACAATGAGACGACGGGAAGAGACGGGGGCGGCCAAATGAACAGGGGATGGAGGGCAGGAGAATGACAAACAATCCTAATTGAGACAGGGACATGATGGCAGATAGGGGAGCGAGCGCGTGTTTGTGTGTGTGTGCCCGCTGCGATCCGTGCTATTGCACGGATTGGTTTGATAAATGGGCGCGCGGCGGCGTGACGCTCTCATTAGATGGCGGCGGCGAAGGGAAATGACCACTTAATGAAAAGCAATAACCGCGATGGAACGAGGGAAGGAAATAAAACAACAGACGAGTTTAGGGCGTCAATTAACAACAACAACAATAAAAACATTTTCCTGTGTGTGTGTGTGTGTGTGTGTGTGTGTGTGTGTGTGTGTGTGTGTGTGTGTGTGTGTAAACAATGCGCACGGAGTAGGCGGAGAGATATGCATCATCCATCACACTGTGACGCCGCCTCTCACCTCAACCTCCCGTGATTCAATATCCTCATGACACCTGGCCAACGCCATGCAAAGGAGATTCGTCAACTGTATTCATGCGCGCATACGTATGAGCGTTGGCGTGAGCTGCGAGATGAGGGATTGAGCGGCTGGCAGATGCAAAGAAGGGAAAAGAAAAGACAGATCGCCAGGAAAGCAATCTGATTGCGCTGGCTGATGGATGCTTCGCAAGCTCCTTCTCTCTTCTTTATCTTCTTTCCTCTTTCTCTGCTTATCTCCAACTCTCCCGAGCCTCCGTCTCTTTCTCCAAACTCGTTGACAGCATCAATCAAAGAAGAAGTCTCCGAGCATAACGTGACACGCGCGCACACACACACACAAACTACCACGCGCAAATACTCAGTGATGATGAGCTCCCTTCGAGAACGATTTATTTGTTTTGAAGAACAACTTCTTTTAATGTATGGAGGGATGATGATGATTTGCTTTTCAGGAGTTAATTTTTTATGGCTGACACAGGCAGGGGAGTGATGCTGATGAAGGCCGCCCCGCTGCTTCCGCTCATCACTCAATCAAACACAAAGTATCAACAAAATGAAGTACTGTTTTTCAGTCCCGGCGATGACTTTCCATTGATCACGCGCTAAGCCGTAACCTTTAACTTGACCCAATCTAATCAAGTAGCATCTGCTCAAGATGCCTTTGCATTGCATGCAGGAAAAATCCTATTAAGTTAAGAAAAAACTTCTTACATATAAAAAGAAAAAGTTTTCCTAAACAAACTGGTTCTATGTATAAAAAAATGTAATTAACAGCTAATTAGAACAAGTCCATAAAGGGTGCCGTATCCCAACATGGTGCCATTATAGGTGATGGTTGTTGGGTGCTGACGAAGGTGAAAGTCAAGTCATTTGCTGACAAGCTACAGTTTGAATTCAGAGCAGAACAGACCACCCCAAGAAGACCTAAAAACACTTTAGGGATACACAATAAAGAGCCAGTTACACCAAGCCTGTTCTGGTTACCCTGGAACAGCAGCATTTCCTACCACCTAAGTAAAATTAAGATAAATGTACCTTTGCTTGATGTGTTTAAAGATATAGTGCACCTCAGTAGACCTAAATGCTAACAGTAGCATGCTAACAAGTTCACATTACGAATACAAACATGCTGATTACAATCCAAGTACACAGTGAGCAGAGACCAGGAAATCTCAGTGGGGTTCTGCTATTTGTAGGGATGTGCTGATACCAGAAATTTAGCAGTCGAGGATCAAAAGAATTACACGATTCTTGATACCAAGGTCAACATGAAATCAAAATCATCATCCATTGTAATGAAAGATCCATTATTAAGAACCTTCTAAACGTTTAATAAAAATGTCATTTTGGCAAATAAAAGCAGCAACAGGGCAGAAACTGAAATATTTTCCCAACTGGTTGGATCTGCCGTAGGTTCCTGCCTGTTAAAAGGGAGTTTTTCCTTCCCACTGTTGCCACTGCACTTGTTCAGCGGGACTGTCATATGATTGTTGTGGATTTCTTTATTTTCTCTGTGTCATTGTAGGGTTTTACCCTACAATATAAAGCACCTTGGAACTAGTTGAATAAAACTGAATTGAATATTAGGATGGCTGCTGAGTAGCCTACTACAGGGTATAATGTTAGTTACGGGACTTTAGCTTAAGCATTTCTATAACAGAAAACATTTTAGCTAAAGTAATAAAACTGATTTCAGACCAGCTGTCCCAAACAAGATGGTCATGGAAATTTTAGGGTAACATCAGAAGGATAATTCATTCAGATCTGGATGCTAGCCTTTTAGGTGCTTCACTAAATTGGAAGTTTTTCCTTCCCTTTGTGTGAAAAGTACAGTAGCGCTTATAGCCATTTGTAGGTGTTGCCCCTGTCAGCTCTGGAACAACTGCAGTCTCATCACATAAGTTTCCTACAGTATGTACCTACAGCACTAAATGGAAAAAAAAAGGAAAAAAGAAACAAGTAACATCTCATTTTTAGAATTTTGGCATTAAAAGTGTCAATTCTTCTGACATCCCTGTAACAAAGTAGCCATCAGCAACACAAAAGTGCGCCAACTAAAACCACATTATCACCAAATGAAGTGAATATCAGCGTAAGATGGGGTGGCAAATGTTTAAGAGGGTTACATACGCCACAAAGTCTGGATCATCCAATAGCAACAACTGTCCCCTATTACACAACGAGTGACAAATAAAACCATTTCTATTTGAAGGTGGTTTATAGATTTTAACATTTTTGGACAGACAATGTTTCTAGATAAGAAACTAGGGAGTTAAAAAGCATTCATAAATCATACTAGTATCATGTGTTAAACAGTTTACAAACACTTTATTGTAACGTGTCAAATTCCAGTCATGAGTCATCTTCTTCGGACAACGAATGTGTTTCAAATGGATCATCGGAGATATTTCAGTCTTTGCCCAGTTTCACAGAAACTGGTTAAATCGGTGGATTATCTGTTATTAATGGAACAACAATGTGTTTCTAAGAGAGCAAACTGCTGATGCATTTTTTAAACATGTTCAGAAACTAAATGCATTTACCACCACTGCATTTGGACAGCTGTGAACATCTGTGGCACAAAACCTGATTTCAGCACAGTGGGATTTGTGTGTGTGGGGTTTTTTTGTTTGGGTAATCCAGGCCTTAAACGGTGTAGAATAGAAAAGATGAATATTGTTGGATGCTACTTAAATAAACCTGGGAAAAGCTCAGTTTTCCAAAGCACAGCAATTTGAAATTCAGTCCTTCAATTACAATACCAACATCTTCCCCTTGGAGGCCTCTCTGCCCCAGGATGAAGAACAACACCTTGTATGGTTCAGAGAGCGTTTACTTAACATCAGTTTCTCTCGGTCCTTCCTGACTGTCATTAATATTCTAGGAAACAAATTGCCTTATTTTTCCTGCTGCGTCCGTGGGGGGATATTGATATGGACCTGGGGAGGCTGCATGTCAACTACTGCTGAATAATGTGACCCCTCGGTCTCATTTCCATAACAAACACACACAGATACTCATGACAAATACGAATAACTAAGTCCTCTATACTGCCATGTTATGATCATCTGTAAATCACAACACTGTGTGTATATCCAACGTGACCAGGCGGGCTTTGTGTGTGTGTGTGTGTGTGTGTGTGTGTGTGTGTGTGTGTGTGTGTTGCAGGGCCAAAGTGATTACCAAGAAATACATGAAAGCCATATATAAAACCATGTGTGAAGCATGGATATAGATAAATAATGTGTCTGTGTATGTACACACTGCCTGGGGCACAGAGTTATAAGATGTTGCCATATATGAAGCCTTCAGCAGACAAAGCACACAGATTTTTAAATTTAAAGATAGGCAGCGTACATCCTCCCACACACATCCTTCATCACAATAAGATATAATAAAGTAAAATAAATACACTTATTTATCTTTAATATTCTTTTTTTGCTGTGTTTGAATAGATTTAAATGACTACGCCAAAATAGAAATTGGATTTCTAAGAATTCAAAGGGTTGTGATCCCGCACATTTTGTTTGTTTTTAACACTGTAAGTTAAGATTTTCCATAAAACTTTCAAATCAACTTTGTCATATTCTAAGGCACCTGTGATTTTTCTGCTTTCAGCTGTTTGAAAAAGGTATGTCTGTCATTATGACAAAATAGAAACACAACAAAGTGAGTGTCAGTAGGAGCTTTTCAGTATTAAAATACTTTTGATGTTTGTAAGGTCTATCTATTGTTTATTACACTACACACAAAATACTGTAGTTGCAGGAAGCGCACTCATAGCAAAGCAGGTTTTACCTGTATGAGAACTCAAAGACAGTTTTTTCATTAAAATGGCTGTTAGCTAGGAGCAGGCCACGGTTCAACACCACCTTGATAAAATATGACGTAGTCCCGCAGTTCAGTCCACTCAAGAACCTTGTCAAAAACAGCACCTCTGGTGTTCAGATATGTTCGGATCTGG